CTTTTAAACTGTGTTTTTAATTTAGTGATGATGTAAATACAATAAAAATTAAACCAAGAGATTTATAATAATTATCATTTTGATCCATACATTGGTAATGTCTGACTGGGCCTCGTGTCACTTTATGTTCAACAAACTGGGCCCTGAGGTCAGAAAGGTTAAGAAGCCCTGGTTTAGATAGTCTGTGGGTCACACAGCTGCAGCACCACAAACATCTTATTAAAGCAGGTCCAGTTGGTTCTGATGGTTACTGAAGAACCGCAGGAAACAAGAAACAAATCTCTGCTAACAAACTCATTTTCCTCCTGAGTTTCATTAAAACCCATTTAGCTAAAAACCAGAGAAAAATCTCAAATAGTTACTAAAAAGTCCCATAAGGCTAAAAGCTTATAGCAACAACAGGCTGGCACTAAACTAAAAGTAGCTTAAGGCTGGCTTTATGCTAAAAATAGCTAAATGTTGAGATAAATGCTAAAAATAACAAAAAGCTAACAAACAATTGGTACAAAAATGGTAGCTAAAATATAAAAATAACAGAATGTAGCTTAAAGCGCTTAAAGATTAGCTAAAAGCATAAAAACTAGTTAAATTAAAAAAGGACCAGAATGGTAGATAANGTATTTAAAGCATAACTAAAAGACAAAAGTATTTAAAGGATAACTACAAGATAAAAGTATTTAAAGCATAACTAAAAGACAAAAGAATTTAAAGAATAACTACAAGATAAAAGTATTTAAAGCATAACTAAAAGACAAAAGTATTTAAAGCATAACTAAAAGACAAAAGTACTTAAAGCATAACTAAAAGACAAAAGTATTTAAAGGATAACTAAAAGATAAAGTATTTAAAGGATAACTAAAAGATTAAGTATTTAAAGGCTAGCTAAAAGATAAAAGTATTTAAAGGATAACTAAAAGTTAAAAGTATCAAAAGGCTAACTAAAAGCTAAATATAGCAGAACAATAGCTACAAATGAAAAGTAACTGAAGTAGACAACAGTAAAGTCAGTTTGCTGAAGCATCAACACAAACGTTGATGTTTCCTCAGAGTCTAAGACAAGTTTATTTGAGTGTTTCGGACCTTGGTACCAGGTTGAAGCGGCTGCGATTGACACGTCCCTCAGCTAAACTTCTGACAGACACGGGCTGACCAAAATACACGTGAATACTGCCGTAATCCTCCCTGAGAACTCTGCGGGCTTTAAACAAACCCTGAAACAAGAAGAAGCACAAACACAGCAGCTCCGGTCAAAATAAATAAAAATAAGACCCAGTCATTTAAAAACAGAATTAAAATAAATAAAAATAAGACCCAGTCATTTAAAAACAGAATTAAAATAAATAAAAATAAGACCCTGTCATTTAAAAAAAGAATTTAAATAAATAAAAATAAGACCCTGTCATTTAAAAACTGAATTAAAAACGTTAAAAGGACTCACAGAGGTGGACTCTTTGGGCTTGGGGACCCCCAGCAGCTCTCTGGCGTAAAGCGCCTCCTCCAGGACCCTCTCGTAGCTGATGCTGACCGGGACCAGGCTCACATCGAACACTTCTCCTTTCAGGAACGGGTCGATCACGATGTTCAGCAGCCCTGCACACAGAACCAGAACCACGGGTGAAGTCTGGACCTGCAGGAGTTTTTCACCATCACCGTGTCCTCACTCACCCAGCTTAGGAGTTAAAGATTTGGCTGTTCTGCTCCTGGTTCCCTCCAGGAAGAACTCGACTGGTGCGAATCCAATCTGAGGGCAGAAATCCAGTGAATTAAAGAAAAATAAAAGGAAAGTAAAGCCCAGCTGTGAGTCTGGTYCAGGTTTACCTTCACCATGACTCTGACGTACTCGGAGAAGACCGCCCAGTACAGCTGGTCTCCACCAAACGACCTGCGGATAAAGAAGGCTCCGGACATCCGCAGCATCTCACCAACGATCTTCATCCCCATGAAGTCTGCAGAGAAACCTCCATCAGTTTGGGATAACAGGCTGACAAATCAGGTTGTCTGCAAAAACATTTTGTTTGTCCAGAGAAATCTCAATAAAAATGTAATTTAATATTGTTCTGTAGACAAAGTTTACTAGATAGAAATGTTGTCAGTCAGCAGGTTGACAGTTTCAGGAGCTGCTTGAGGAGAACTTCCTCCTCCTCCTCTTTGAAATGAGACAAAAATCAACATCCATGAGCTTTCTGCTTACATGTTAAACATTTTTATTTATATAGGAGTAAACTACCTGACCTTATTAAAGTTACAGTTTAGTGTTCTTAGGACTGAAGACGGAGGTTTTTAAATATCTTTTAGTGTTTTCAACTGAGGAGCTTTGATATATTTATTTAAAATTATAGCAGAGGAAGTTTTTTTTAACCAAACTGACAAGTTTCTCCAGTAAAATGATTGTGTAATTTAAAGGCAATGAAACACCTGGTTAAATTTAGAAGATATTATGATTAACTACAAACATCTGAAGCTGACTCAGAGAACTCTGTGATTTTAGAAAAAATACAGTACAAATCAAATGTAGACACATCTTTAAAAGACCCTCCTCCTCCTCCTCACCCCATGCAGCTGCGGTCAGCGAATCTCCATCCCACCCGCATGTGATCAATACTGATTTTTTTGAGCAAATTACAAATTTTTGATGCTCATTATACA